GGGTCCCCACTGCCCTATGGTTGCTGGATCAGCCTGTACCTGCTGCAGTCCCCCCTGCCCTTGGAGTGGAGCGGCACACTCTTCTGCCCGGTCCAGTCCAGAATCCCTTCCCTGGGTTCCCGGGGTCTCCTCCCCTTCCTCCCCACAGCATGCCTGCCGCAGGGACCCTGTGTACCCCGGTCCACCAGGGAAACTACTCATGCCTCAGGAATGGTGGAAGGCCAGGCAGGGCTGGGGGACCTCCAAGCGGGCAGCATGATCACTGCGGGCTTCCTGGTGGAGCTGGCCTTGAACTAGCTCTAGGATTTAGATAGAGAGGAGGGAAGGGCATTTCATGTGAGGTAACAGCGAGAGCAAAAGTGCGGTCCCAGAAAGGGCCCCCTTTAGTACAGAACCCAGAGCCCCTCTTTCCTGAGCACACAGTAGGTACCAGGCCTCATGGGATCACAGGAAGGAGGAGGACAAGCTGCCTGGTCTCATCTACCTTAAACTCTCGTAGGGGAGAAAGATACGATGGCAAGTAGTGCGACGCGGGTGAAATCCGGGCTACCCTGTGGTAGAAGAGAGGGTTCTTAATTAAAACTGCAAACCCCAAAGCTATGTAAGAATGTGAAGGCATATGTGAATATACGAAAATTAGAATTTCTGTGTATACAAAAAACTCCACAAATAAAGTCAATTATCAAAGGTAATGGTTTGATTTTTTTTTTTTTTTTGCGGTACGCGGGCCTCTCACTGTTGCGGCCTCTCCCGTTGCGGAGCACAGGCTCCGGACGCGCAGGCTCAGCAGCCATGGCTCACGGGCCCAGCCGCTCCGCGGCATGTGGGATCTTCCCGGACCGGGGCACGAACCCGCGTCCCCTGCATCGGCAGGTGGACTCTCAACCACTGCGCCACCAGGGAAGCCCTGATAATATTCTTATTAAAAAAAAAAAAAAGAAAAAAAGCAGAGAGAGTTCTGAGAGCTCAGCTGAGAGGGATCAGCTCGAGCCACGGAGGATGAAGCACTAGAGAGACGGCAGGATGAGGGCAGATGCCTGGCAGGGACGCGGCAGGTCAGGGGGGCCTTGACGACAGACGAGGGTTTAGGACTCCATCCCCCAGGCAATGGGGGCCTTGGAGGGTTCTGACCTGCCTCCCAGAGGGTGGAGCAGAGGGGAGGAGACAGGAGGCTGCAAGACTCTGGGAGCAAGGGGTCGCCAGGGGGCTGGAGCAGAGTCATCGGGACACAGAAGGGGAACCCTGGGGGAAGGAGATCAGGGGAGCCCGGGACCAGCAGGCACTCCTGGGCAGGAGCCACAGGGAGGGCTGGAGGACGATGCCCAGCCTCGTGTCTTGTACGAACCTCATCTCACTGGAGGCAAGTTTATAACGTGGACTAGGATGTAGAGGTGCCCAGAGAGGCTGGATGAGCTACCCAGCGTCACACAGCAAATTAGCATCCAACACTGGACTGAGGCCTGTTTTCTAATCTCATATCTCACACAATTCCTACCACTTCCAGCTGTCTCTGGCTAGGAAACCCCAGGCTTGGGGTCTGGATTAGTTATGGTACATGCTAAACCACCCTGATAAAAGAGATCCCAATATACTCTGGGTCAAACAGGATAGAGCTCTCTCTCCTGTAACAGTCCAGTGGTCCTGGTTCACAGAGCAGCTCTGCTCCATGTAGTCACCCAGGGATCAAGGTTCCTTCCACTTTGTTGCTCTGCCTTACCCTAGGGTGTCATCCTCCTTTGCATGGTGGAAGCCAGTTCACCAGCACTGCATCTGCCCTCCACAGGAAGGAGGGGAGAGGAAGGGAAGGGTCAGGCACTCTGGCTCACATCTCCTCTACTCTCATCCCATTGGCCATACCTAGCTGCAAGGGATGCTGGGAAATATCATCTATAGCTGGGAAACCACACATCCAGCTAATGCTAATATTATTAAAAGAAAAAAGGCAACCAACTGGACCAGGGCCAGCCACGCCCACCAGACCACCCACAGTAGTCAGCCTGCCACAACAGAAGGACCTATGCAGTCCCCATAGGGGGCACCCTATGGCATATAGCCTGGCTGGAGCAGAGTGCACTGCTGGGACACATAGGACACACCTCCTACAAAAGGCTGCTTCTCCAAAGTTGGGTAATGTAACCAACCTACCAGATACATAGAAATAAAAATAACAAATTAGGCAAAATGAGGTGACAGAGGACTGTGTTCCAAATGAAGGAATAACATAAAACCCCAGAAGAGTTAAGTGAAGCGGAGATAGGCAATCTCCCCAAGAAAGAGTTCAAGGTAATGATCATAAAGATAATCAAAGAACTCAGGAGAAGAATAGATGAACAGAGTGAGGAGTTAGAAGTTTTTAACAACGAGTTAGAAAATATAAAGAACCACCAAACAGAGATGAAGAATACAATAAATGAAATGAAAAACATACAGTGGAAGGAATCAACAGTAGATTATACGATACAGAGGAACAGATCAGCAAATTGGAAGAGGGTAGTGGAAATCACTGAAGCTGAAGAGAAAAAAGAACAGAAATGAAAACGGTTTAAGAGACCTCTGGGATAACATCAAAGTGTACTCACATTAGCATTATAGGGGTCCTAGAAGGAAAAGAGAAAGAAAAAGGGACAGAGAATTTATTTGAAGACATTGTTGCTGAAAACTTCCCTAACCTGGAAAAGGAAAAAGACATTCAGGTCCAGGAATCACAGAGAATCCCAACAAGAGCAACCCCAAAAAGGACTGCACCAAGACACATTCTAATTAAAATGGCAAAAATTAAAGATAAAGAGAGAACATTAAAAAGAGCAAGGAAAAGCAACAAGTTACATACAAGGGAACTCCCATAAGGCTATCAGCTGACTTTTCAGCAGAAACTCTGCAGGCCAGAAGGGAGGGGCACAATACATTTAAAGTGATGAAAGGGAAACACCTGCACTCGAGAATACTTTACCTGGCAAGACTCTCATTCAGATTTGAGGGAGAGATCAAAAGTTTTACAGCACCACCCAACCAGCTTCACAAGAAATGTTCAAGAGACTTCTCTAAGCAAAAAAGAAGAGGCCACAGCTATAAACATGAAAATCATGAAAGGAAAAAACTCATTGGTAAAGCAAATATACACTAAAGGTAGAAAATCAACCACATACAAAGCTAGTAAGAAGGTTAAAAGACAAAAGTAGTAAAAACTATATCCACAGTAAGCAGTTAAGGGATACACAGAAACACGTAAAATGTGACGTCAAAAATATCACAGCGGGAGTTCTCTGGTGGTCCAGTGGTTAAGACTCCGCACTTCCAAGACAGGGGGCGCAAGCTCCATCGCTGGTCAGGGAACTAAGATCCTGCATGCCATGCAGCAAGGCCAAAAAAAAACCCAAAAAAAAACACAGTAATTATGAGGGGAGGGGAGTACAAATGCAGGGATGTTAAAATTTGTTTGAAATTAAAAGGTCAGCAACTTACAGTAATCACACATATATAGATTGCTATATATAAACCTCATGGTAACCTCAAACTAAAAATCTATAATAGATACACGCACAAAAAGAGTAAGGAATCTAAATACAACACTAACGATTGTCATCATATCATAAGGGAAGAGAAGAATGAGGGAACAAAAACCCCCAAACAATTAAACAAAGTGTCAATAATTACATGCCTATCAAAAATCACTTCAAATGTAAATGAACTAAATGCTCCAATCAAAAGACAGAGTGGCTGAATGGATATAAAAACATATATATGCTGCCTACAAGGGACTCACTTCAGATCTAAAGACTGAAAGTGAGGGGATGAAAAAAGACATTCCATGCAAGCGGAAATCAAAAGAAACTTGGGATAGCAATACTTACATCAGACAAAATAGATTTTAAAACAAAGACTGCAACAAGAGACAGAAAAGGACATTACATAATGATCAGGGGATCAATCCAAGAAGATATAACAACTGTAAATATGCACCCAACAAAGGAGTGCCTAAATACATAAAGCAGATATTAACAGACATAAATGGAGAAATTGACAGTAACAGAATAATAGTAGGGAATTTTAACACCCCACTTACATCAATGGACAGATCATCCAGACAGAAAAAAATCAATAAGGAAACACTAGCCTTAAATGACACATTAGAACAGATGGACTTAAGAGAATGTGTAGATCATTCCATACAAAAACAGCAGAATATACTTCTTATCAAGTGCACATAGAACATTCTCCCTGATAGATTACTTGCTAGGCCACAAAACAAACCTCATCAAATTTAAAAAACCTGAAGTTGTATCATGCATCTTTTCTGACCACAAAAGCTAAGAAATCAACTACAAGGGAAAAAACTGCAAAAAAACACGAACATGTGGAGGCTAAACAATATGCTACTAAACAACCAATGAATCACTGAAAAAAAAAAAGAAAGTCAAAGAGGAAATAAAAAATACTTGGAGACAAATGAAAACACAACGACCCCCACACACAAAATCTATGGAACACAATTATACCCCAATAAAGATGTTAAAAAAAAAAATCTATGGAACACAGCAAAAGCAATTCAGAGAGGGAAGTTTATAGCGATACAAGCCTATCTTAGGAAAAAAAAAATCTCAAACCAACCATCCTAACTTTATACATACAGGAACTAGAAAAAGGACTACAAAACCTAAAGTTAGAAAGAAATCATAAAGATCAGAGTGGAAATAAATGAAACTGAGACTGGAAAAAAAAAATAGAAAAAAATCAATGAAACTAAGAGCTCGTTCTTTGAAAAGATAAATATCGATAAACCTTTAGCCAGACTCATCAAGGAAAAAA